GAGCTACTGTATACTAAACATATTTTTCACTGGAACAAATATCATCAAATTTGCTGATAGTTCTGTAAATATTTTTAAATAAAAATATTGCATTCTGATAAACCAGGGGTAGGCAACCTTGGCTCTTTTGTGACTCGTGGACTTCAACTCCCCTACCCCTGTGATAAACAGATTGTCATAATATTAAGAGCTTGAACAATTTTCCTGTCTCTTTTGTCAGAAGTTAATGGGAAAACCTCATTTTTCTAAGTCATCCAAAATACATAAAAGACAAATATTTATGCAGTAATTTGAAAAAGGGTATGATCTTTTAAATTTCAACAAGTATTTTAAGATAATAATTCTTTATCCTGAAATTATGAAAATAGGTACCGAATATATAAAGGCTAAAGACATTGTTATCCTGTGTCACTGAAATATATCAGTAAAATCTTTTTTTTCTTTTTTACATTCAGCTAGAAAGGCAGCTTCTGATGCAAAATCAAATGCGTGAGAGACAGATGGCCATGCAAATTGCCGGCACACGGGAGTTTCTCAAGTATTTTGGATCATTTTATGCCCTTATGACTGTGGGCCTAACAATTGGGTATGCAATCCTTTTTTTCCCCATAAGTAGTAAATGAGAGACAGATTTTATTGTTTTTACTCTCATTCTTTTATTTGCTAAAGGATGCATTTAAAATAAAACATTAACTAAGAAGTAAAACTGATTGTATATTCCAGTCTAAAGGTGTACATGAAATGAAAAATGTGTTTTGGTCCAGGTGCAGACCAGCTATGCATTCTGTGTTAAAGATAATCACCTTACTAATTATCTCTCTTTTCTGTTCCTTTTCAAATAACAAACATTTCATCACGTAAGGAAGAGTCCTTCACAATATTGGTTCATGCTGTATTATGGCAGAGTATGCATGCAGCCTCGCACTCCTGATAGCAAAAGAAACTAAGCAACCTGAGTTGGTTTACTATTACACCTAATTGAAATTTCTGGCCTATATCTCCAGTTGTGATTTCAATTGGAGCCAAGCTAGTTGTATTCCTAGTTTAGCAATATTGATCTATGACAGGGGTTCTCAACCTTGGCAACTTTAAGACTTGTGGACTTCAAGTCCCAGAATTCCTCAGCCAGCAAAGCTTTGAATTGAAGTCCACAAGTCTTAAAGTTGCCAAGGTTGAGAACCCTTGGTCTATGAAGAGAGGGATAAACAAAGGATCCTGATTTGCATTTTTTGGTTGACTTCTGACAACTAGCCCCTGCAGGATTTTGGTTTGCTCTTCCCAGGACTGAGAGAGAGCCACTGCCCAAAATCATCGCGCTAGCTCTGTGCCTAAGTCAGAACTAGAACTCACAGTCTCTCAGTTTTTAGCTGCTACCTTAACCACTACACCATGTTTGCTCTATAGTACATTAAAACATTGCTTCCTGAATGGTTTAAACATTTCATTTGCTTTTTATTTTTATTTATTAGGTTTATATCCCACCTTTCCTTCAGAGTTGAAAACAGTGTACATAGAACTTTGGCCTCCATCTTTTGCCCTTTGAGATAGTTTGGTCTGAGTGACTGGTCCAAATTCACCTAGTGAGCTGCTATAGCTGAGGATGGACTCGAAGTTGACTATCTGCATTCTTAGGCTAACATCTTAACCTCTATATCACTCTGGTACAGGGGTCTTCAAACTTGACCCTTTTATGACTTGTGGACTTCAACTCCCAGATGCTGGCTGAGGAATTCTGGGAGTTGAAGTCCACAAGTCATAAAAGGGCCAAGTTTGAAGACCCCTGCTTTGGTATATCAAGTAATATGAGCTAATTAGCTTGCTTGCTTGCTTAGAGTAAACAAATGGAATGGGAGGAGAGAATTTTCTTACCAAGAAGTATCTTGCATTTTGGTGTGGAAAACAATATTAGAACAAATATTTTGCATAATTATCTTCAATCAATATGGCCAGAAACAAATTTACAGTAAATGAGTAACAATGGCACATTGTTCTGCTATAATCTGGTAAACTGAAAAAGCCCTTACAACAACCAATTAAACATAGGATTTACAGTTCGCACAACAAAATATAACTGTTAGCATAATTGTTAGCAAAACCACATTAATAACACATTAAAAGAACTGAATATTTATGAGATTTGGTTAACCATATTATTTGCATAATTATACCAAATGAAAATATAAACTAAGAGCTACAGAGCTTTATTGCCACAAAACCTGTTTAATTTCAGCATTAAGTAATCTTAATATTTTGCATTTAAAGCATTTTATCTGGATATTGACTATTTTTTATTTCCCGTTTATTTAGTGTATAATTTTTTTCAATACAGAGCAATAACAAATAAGAAACCTCAACTCTTTATTCCAATTATACCTTTGAGCTTTATACTTGCCCATCAGTATGATAAAGGGTATGGAACTTTACTACAAAGAATGAAATGTAAGTACAGTAATTTCTTTGCACAAATGTAGTATCATTGATTATCTCTGGTCTTACAAAACTGATGCAATATATACATGAATCCATCTTTTTCTTCAGCTGAAGCAGAGAACATAATTGACACAGACTATGCGATGCTAGAAATGCCAAAAGGAGCTATCACTTTCGATGATCTTGAAAAAGCCAGAAGAGCACAAAGCAGATTTTTTATTGAGAAATAAAATAGGTATGTTTATAATCACATTGCTGATACAAGCATGGTATGTGGAACCTTTTCCGAAACTTGAAAAGTTCATCATCTTGTCCATCAGAAAAGGAATATGAGGGTGCTAAAACCAGATCCTCTCTCCGTCCCAAACAAAGAGAGTCTTATTTTTAACTATTTTAATTAGGAGCAGGAACAGTTTCTGTTGATGATCATTGAAGCAAATTGTATAACCTGACTAAATAAGTTGACATTTTTTAAAAAAGTATTGCCTGTATATCACCTGTTTTATTAAATAAAACCATTTAATATAATACAAATTCTATTCATTATTTTTAAACTACTTTTATTTTTTATTCATTTTATTATCTCATTCTTTTCCGTAGGCTGACCTTGATACCCTTTGTGGGTATCTATAATAGATCATGAAATACACGGTAATGACAGAGAAGGGAACGGAATAAAGACACTGTTACTAAAAATAAATCCTACCAACAACCTGTATGATCCTTGTGCACAGAGTACTCAAGTTACCTAGCAGTATTTTCATAGAAAGGTGCAGCTGCTTTCTAAACTGTTGTTTAAGTTTACCTTGCACTTCCCAGGGCTCAGGACAAACAGTAAGTTCAGAAAGAGAACAGAGTGGTTTGAGAGTCATTTTATTGACCATGTGGGTTGAGTTGGAACACATAAGTTATTTGCATCTGGAAACAAAAAACACCTTTTCATCTGAAGGTTCTTTTTACATCAGCACATTGTTCTAAATTCTAAAAGGACTTCAAGAATAATTAATTGAACTGTTAGGAATTTTGAACTTGCAATCACAACCACAACATATGTGTGCAACGCTTGCAGCTTTGAGGATGGGTTGTAAAGGCACTTTTTAAAACTCCATTGTAACCCTAGAATGGTTGTTAAGCAAGTGGTTACGACTTGTTCCTGCAGAAGTAGACTGGGAAATTATCTGGGATGTTTTGGTTTCCACAGGTACCAACTAGTTTTCCAGTTTTTATTGTTTGTGGTAGGCCACCAGGATTCACGGGTAGATGTGGGTGCTTGGAGCACAGGTGCACCATTTGCACAGTTAGCAGCAATAGCAGCAACAGCCCTGGCTATTAAGGGACAGATTACCATTTTTTTCACCATTTTTGTCAAAGTGTGTTGGGTCATTTGATCCTGAAGACGTAATATGTATCTTGCCTCTCTGTCTGAAGCTTTAGGGCAATGTTTCTCAACCTTGACAATTTTAAGGCATGTGGACTTCAACTCCCAGAATTCCACAGCCAGCATTGCTGGCTGTGGAATTCTGGGAGTTGAAGTCCACATGCCTTAAAATTGTCAAGGTTGAGAAACACTGCTTTAGGGCTCAACAGTAACTTTTTTTTATACTGGTGCAATGATTTTCATTTATATCTACCTAATATTTGGATAGGACCTGAATAATTAAAATTCCTCATGGTTAGTAATAACTTATTTTTCTTTTTGGTACAATATTTTAACAGAAATTTCCTCTTATACTGGAATTCTTATAAGCCATACAGTTATTTGAATTATTTATTTTCCATAACTTATCCATCATACAGCATTCACTGAATTGTGGTAAACCATTAATACATATTAGCTATCCAGATGAAATAAGTCACTCAAAGTTTCTATGAATTCTGAGTGCATACAGTATAGGTCAGGGGTAGGCAACCTTGGCTCTTTTATGACTCGTGGACTTCAACTCCCAGAATGCCAGAGCCAGCTAAGTCCACGAGTCACAAAAGAGCCAAGGTTGCCTACCCCTGGTCTAGGTAGTCTTATGACCACAATTGAGGCCAAATTTTTCTCACTAAGTGAGACATTATGAGTTTTGCCCCATTTTATAACCTTTCTTGCCAAAGTTGTTAAGTGAATCAGCGCAGTTAGTAGCACAGTTCTTAAGTGAATCTGGCTTTTCCATTGACTTTTCTTGTCAGAAGGTAGCAAAAGATGATCACATGACCCTGGGACTCTGCAACTGTCATAAATATGAGTTGCCAAACATCTGAATTTTGATTAAGTGACCAAGGTGATGCTGCAATGCTCTTAAGTGTGAAAAATGGTCATAAATTATTGTTTTCAGTGCCATTGTAACTTCGGTCACTAAATGAACTCTCTTAATTTGAGGACTACCTGTAAGTTATCCTAAATGCACATTATTCATTTGGTGCACATGATAATTAAATTGCAAACTATACCTCCAACATGTCAAACAGCTGAATTATCTTTATAATGCAATCACAAATTATTGCTTTTATCTATGCTGGTCTATCCACTTAGTTGTCTGCTATAATTACACTGAGCAAATGAAAAGTAAAAACATATCAGCACCCCCAATTGGTTTACTTTAATAGTAATCAATTACATTTATATATTTACTATCCCTGCCTTTATTAATTTGATAAGGCAAATATACATAATACTCCTTCCTCCTATTTCCCCACAACAATTCTGTGAGGTGGGTTAGGCTGAGAATGAAGATTGACCCAGTCATCCAGCTGGCTTTCTTGCCTAACCTGTTAATTAATGAAAGTTAGCTACATACCAAATTAATCTTTTGCACAACAGTTGCAGAGGTCAGGTCTCTTTCTATTCATTTCTTGCAAAAGTAAAAATCTGTTCTTGCATCTGTAGAAATAAGATAAAATCTGTTCTTGCATCTGTAGAAATAAGATGTCAGAATTATCCCAAATATGTAAACCATCATAGGTGCTAATTATATACTATATAGAGCAATTGTGCTATTGAATGGGATGTCTTTTGTCCATAACTCAGTGGCCTTGGATCAGCTTTTTTTTATACTTGCAATACAGGAATAAAATAACAATCTTGAGTATAGTGTTGCTGTGTGGTCTTATAATAAGGATCTTGAATACAGTGTTTCTCTGTAGTTTTACAATGAAATAAGAGGTGGAACATTTTGAAGTGTTTAAATATTTGACATACAAATATTCTCAGAGAAACAAGGTGGTAGTTTAAGTTGAATATGCTCTACTGGTTATACAAAGTGATGGCTGTTCTGCGGATAGGATAGGATTCAATTTTTTGTTAATTTCATTTTTTTTTCTTTCAGAGCCCTTCACATCTTTCCTGTACAATTGTTCCATGTTCAGCCGTTTTTTCTTTTCCTTCTCTTCATACTTTTAATGAATGAATAATGCTATCTGTCCAATTGTAAACCATTTTGAGATTTACAGTGAGAAACTGGTCTCTGTCACTCATTCACACCACGATATAAACCGAGTCAGGCGAAGGCTGAAGCTCGGCGTGCCTCTCTAGACGCTGACCGGGATTGAAGGCGAGCGCTTTCCCTGCCTACCTATCCGGGACCCCGCCATTGCACCAAGCAAGCCGTGAAAAGAGCGGGAAGGGGCTCCGTCATGGCTGCGGCTGCTGCTTCTCCAGCTGGCCACCGCGGTAAGTTATCGGGATACCCAGGAGGACACAAAGGGACAGCCCCGGCTCACAAAACGAGACACTCACAAGCCGAGGACGCTCTGCGGCCGCGGCTTCCCCTGCGCGGCCATGTACCCTGGCGGGGGTGGTTCCGACTAGAAGAGAATCAGCGAGCAGCTCCAGAAGTTAACTCCGGAGTTGCCATCCGGCAGCGCATGCGCAGGTAAAGGACCGGCAGGCAGGCCGGCCAGCTGGCGAGAACAAAAAGGGGGAGGAGTCAGATGCAGCCGCCTGTCAATCTTCCTCCCGAAGTAATTAAGGGTTTTCGCAGTCTTACCTCAGCGGCGCTCGCTTAAAATAGGCGGGTGGTCCGGGAGGGAAAGCGGGGCGCATCCCGTTGCTGGAGTTTAATCGATCTCCTCCCGCCTCCTTGATTTTGAAGAACCTCCCGGCATGAAATAATTGGCCGTCCCGTTAGTGCTCTGCCTCTCTTGCAGTCGTCTGGCTTTTCTGCGAAGGACCGGGGGGGGGGGGCGAGGGAGGAGCCTAAGGATTCCGATGTTATACAATCCTAGAACAGTGTCAGATTAAGGCAGCGGTTTTCAGCCTTTAAGAAGTGTGGCTTTCAATCCAGCCAGCGTTTTATCTGAAGTCCGCATTTAAAAGTTGCCACGGTTGAAGAACACTGAATAAAAGAGTCCTCTCTTCGCATGCTTCTATCAACTCAACAGATTAGCAGAATGTTTGACCAAACTTTTGATGGTCTGTGTGCTTTGCCTGGATTCTGGACTCTTTAGTTCAGGCACTGGAATCAGATAAATTATGTTCTATTTATTTGCTAAATCTGGTATTGTTAGTACTCTAGCCACAAAGCATTTGTAACACTAAAATTGTTTTTCAAACATAGACATGCAGTGTTCAACTTTTCCTTTAATAAATACTTGACGTGTGGATCGTGCACATAGTTTTTACATTAAATAGGATAGGGATTAATTGGTAATAGGGGTGCTTAAACTTCTGCAAATCATAAGCTTACTAGTAGTCCTCGATTTACAACCACAGTTGAAACTGGAATCTATCATTGAGCAAAGTGATTATTAAGTGACTTATTCACTAAACAACTGCAATCCTTGCATCCCCTGTTGTAGTTGTTAAATAATCTCCAGGGACATCAACAGAGTTCCAGGAAAGGAATGCAAGGTGTGTTGGGAAACCCTGGGAAGTGTACACAGGGGAATACATAATTGGGCTGCTGAAACAGAGCAAAGGTCTTAAGGATTCTAGCTCTGTTCCTGCAGCCCACCGTTCCATTAATAAAAACTACTTTTGTCAGGTTGCAAGAATGGATTTTAATGCTCCTGATGTCCAATGAAGGATTTAAACTTCCCCCCCTCCCCCCCCAAAGGATGGAGGGGAAATCCTTCCTGGAGCTGTAAATCTCAAATCTCCAAAGTAGTGGTTCTCAACCTGTGGGTCAGGACCCCATTTGGGGTCGAACGACCATTTCATGGGGGTTGCCAAACAACGCAGTCCACCATTTTTTCCCCCTTTTCCTTAGCTGTGCTACTCCCTTTTATTCTATTGGCTTTTGAAAGCCAATAGAATGACTCTCTTGAATAGAGTCTAATTCTATTGGCTTTCAAAAGCCAATAGGAATTGTCCAGGCTGTCTCTGCCCTGCTGAGCCCGCCAAAAGTCCCATTCTACAAACGGTGCTGCACCAGTTGAGTAGTCCTCAACTTACGACCGGTTGAGTAGTCCTCAACTTACGACTGGTTGGGGGGTCGCGGCATTAAAAAGGTTGAGAACCACTGCTCCAAAGGATGGAGGGGAAATTCCCTCCTGGTAGGCAGCTCTTTCGCTCTCAAAAGAGCTCTCCTGCTGGGCGGGAATTTCAATTCCACATGGAGCTGCAATTCCTGCTTGCTAGGCAGCTTTTTCAGACAGGCCTGAGATGAGAGGGAATACTCTCCGGAGGTGGCAGCAGTTTTTAAAAACAAAAAATATTTTATTGGGTTTTTTTACATATCACCATTAATATTTGGTAAACAGTGTGTTGTCTAGGTTTGCATTTACAAATAATCAAACACTTAATTTTTATGGTTCCATATTCCACATGGTAATTTTCCTTGATTTTCTCCCAATAATATCTTTTATCAACCTTAAATTAGAACATTTCTCGGTAACTTTTTTGAAAAATAACAAATGTCTACAAATATCCTCCACTTCACTAAGCTTCTTTTCTAATTAATCATCTAAATCACCCTGTCATAGATCCTGTTTTTGGAGTTCTCATTTAAATGTCTTTTCCCCACAATATTCAAAAGAAAGCATTTTACTTGTTAAAATTTTCTTAGAGTTAATTACACTTATATATTGAAATCTTTTTCCTCATATGAACCATCCCAACACTTACATTTTTCGTATCTTGAAATAGAAGGGACAGAAATAATATACTATCTAAAAAAACAAACAAAATATATCCCTCTTAAACTAAAATACCTTAATGTTTCATTTTTTAAAAACATTCAAATCTTCAAAATCCATTATATTTAAATATTTAATAAATTTCCCTCATATAAATCTTCCCACATTTTTATATTTCTCATGTCAATAGGCAAAAATACTCTTGCTTAAGCTTATCCCTCCTGAAATTCATTTTTATTCAAAATTTTATTTCTTTAACCTTATTCAAACAAGTGTTTAATCTTTAAATATTCCATCAAATGAATCCTATCATCTAATTTCTTAATTCTGACTTTAGCCCTTTTTTTTGCCAAATACTTTCCCTAGTATGTTCCATTGAACCCCAAGATCTTCCCATGGTTTTGTATATGTTGTTGTCAGTACAAAAGTCAAGTCAGTTAGTGTTTTTATGAAAATATTCCTCAGAAATCTTTTTTCCTTAGTTTCTCCCATCACCTTTTTCTCTTAAATTCTTGACATATAGGTTGTCTTTTCCGCATCCAGTATTTCCTGGAAGTTTTTGTCCATCTGAATCCTTCCATTATTAAATTCCATCTCAAAGTTTCTTTCCACTAGTTTATATTCAGTTGTCTGCTTTACACGATCTCTTTTTTATTTTCTGATCATTTATTGGTTGTGACATTAAATTGAGAATGCATTCATTTAAATTTTCAAATTCATTTTTAATTTCCTCGTGGTTTGAAATTAATGTCATTTGTATTTGTTGTAACATAACATACATTTCCTCCTGGAAAGTATTTATTTTTTCTTGATATATTCTTTCTGTAGACCTCTGATAATCCAAAATGACCAAAAATCCTTTCTCTGCCAATTGCTTTAAAGTTACAGTTTAAAAAATATTTATAGTCTAGGAAGGTTGATTTTTTTCTAAATTTTATAGAGATAATCCACAATGTTTTCTTTTCTTTTATTACAGCTATTCCTTGTTGGATAAAGCTTTGAAGGTCACAATAATAAGTTTTTTTTTCTGGGCTGTATATTTAGGGTAGTATTTTCATCCACCACTAGATGTCAGCACCAGTCCAACTTCACTTTTCAAAACAAATAAGCCATTTATCTCTGTCAATAATCTTTTGCCAGGAAATTTTAATAAATTCCATCAATTTCACCTTTTCCAAGTTTAAATCTTACATTAATTTTATTTCTGTGTATTTTTATTCCCCATAAATTTAATTTGCCCCCCTCTCACTTTCGGAGGATTTTTACTTCTGGGTTTTTTCCCCCAGGAAATCAGTCAGGTAGAAGAGAATCAATATTCTTACCCAGTTCAATCACACTGTTTACGATCGCTTAATTTAGTGCTTTTTGGCTTCAGCTGCATGTAGCTTGGGCTAGACTCATGGATGACACTAGCCTTCTGTTGGTTTCTGGAGAGCTTTCCCAGGACATCTGGATTGACGGGGCTTCCCTCCTTCTTTGCCACCTCTCCGGGGTGGGTTTTGGCTCATTTAGGGTCCCCAAAGAGAAATCAGCTGTAGGATGCGGAGCCCCATAATCCCCCCTGCACAAAACCGGAAGCCAGCTTGTAACCTTTCCTATTGGCTTCCCCACTGATTTTCTTGGGAAGCCGGCAGAGATTGTAAATGACTATCACATGATCATGCAGTTTGGTGGCAACTAGCCATTAAGTGTGAACAGGTTTCCAGTGACCCAGTATACAGTCATGTAACTTGGAGGGTGGAGGAATACTTTACAACAGCCAGAAATGCCTTATGGGCCATAAAGCATCCTTTCTGAGGACACTGTAACTTCAAATAGTTGTTAAATGACTAGTTGTAAGTCGCAGATTACCAGTATTTTGACCCCTAAAATCATGCCCAAAGAACAGATCAAAATCTTCAGTCCAACATACCATTGAAAGGCTAGATTCTGCAAATGGGAAGCAGGATACACATTGTTGAAATCTGCCACTTCTTCAAGTCTTTTTTTCCCCTTGCACTTCAAAGAATGTCCATTTGTATACACTTTTATGATCAGTCGATTCTTCTGGATAGAGTTACACTCTTTCATAACACAGATCTGGATCGTCATCCTTCATTTCAGCAGTGAAATAGTTTTCAGTTTTGCAAGTTAAGGAAAGGAGTCAAAAATTATGTGGAAAAATAAGAGGAAATGTACAGTTTTAAAAAATATTTAATACTCTGTTATCTTAGTATACATTTAAAGCAAATTATTCTGAATTCTATCGTACTGGACCACAGACCAATTAGCAAATAAAAATACAGAAGTGTTTTACAAAATACAATCTATTTATATAAAATGGCATAGATTAAAAAAAAGTTCTAAAAAGCAGTAGTTATATTATCACTTTACTTAATGGCAGCAGTCTTGTCTATGCAGCATTTTTTTCCTTAAAGCAAGTCACAGCAATAATTGGTATCATGGTAAACCATTATGATAAAGTGAATAGCGCTCTGGGAAAGGAAAAAAAAAGAGAAGATTTGTAGTACCCTTTTATATTAACACACTTTATTAAAACATATTTGCTTTTGTAGGCTACAGCTCACTTCATCAGAAGCATGGAGTGAGCTGTAGCTCATAGAAGCTAAACTTTTTAATAAAATCTGATAATCTGAAAGGTGCTTCTAGATTCCTCCTGATTTTTGGCTATCATAGACTAACACAGCTCTCTTCCTACAGTGGAACAGGAAAATAACTGAGAACACTATTGATACACAAATAGTATAATGTTTAAATGATATGTACAAAACTGTTATCACAGAATTACATTTTTTTATTTGATTGACTGGTTATTATAGTTTTTGAATTGTGTGAGCAACTAATAATCTGACAGTACAAATGAAATCAAGACCTCATGCATAAGGACAGGAGCCACCGATGCAAGAGCTCAGCAAACATAATTTTTTGAGAATCTTCCTCTCTTGAAAGCCTTCTGTGTCTTTTAAAATCTTGAATCGGAACATTTTTAAAGTAGTCTCCAATCCAGTCTGAAATACTGTATCCAGAAACTTCCTTGAATATATGGAAATATTTGTGCCAAAAAATAGAATCTGCTTGAATTTCCATTTAAACAGAGCCAAAGTGAAATGAATAAAGTGAAAAAGAAATTTGGACAATGCTTTACTTTTGACAGCACAATCCTATCATGTTCACAAAGAAATAAATCTAAGCTCAAAAAGTTTTATTTTGTGCAAGTGTTTATATGGCTGCAACAATGGAAATTCAAAACTGAATAGGTTTCAAACTCTTAAAGCACTTCAAATATCTGTTAAATATTTGAAATTCCTTATATCAGAAAACTAGAATATTCCAATTCTATTAGAGCAAAAAAAAAACCACTTGAAAAAAATAAGCATGGAAGAACTTTTCTTTGCATTACACAAAATTCCCTGAGTTTTCTTCCTTTATATGGAATATGAAATCCTCAATCAGATGAATGCAGTTCAATAACAAGACCGATATTGAATCTGATGCCTCGTGTTGTTTTCAATCTGATGCTACGATAATTTGGTTAACAGGGGAATCCCACTACCAAGCATTTACCACAATATTTCACAAAACCAAAATGCAGTTTCTATACAATAAATTTTATATCAATGTACAAATGTGCATCGTATCA